TGAAATTGAAAACAGCCACAACGACGACGACAACAACATCACTATCACCACGAGAACAACAACACAAACATCAACAAAACCTTTAATTATAACAACAACAACAACAACAAGAGACCATCTTGAACATGCATCCACCCTCTTTCCCCCTGATGTCGGAGAATATAATTTCTGTAAACAAATAAAGAGGGCAGTGTATTTTAAAAGCAAATTCAATTTCAGTCAACTTATGACATCGTGGCGTATTTGGGATAAATTTAGAACATCCAGTGCATCAGGTGCAAGAAAGATTGCATTGCAATTTATAGGGGGAAATTGGGAAATAGGCAAATGGTCACTATTTTTGCCCAGCTTAAGGTCGGTCAATACTGCGGCGGTAATGACTACTTAGGTGTGAGAAATCTGAAGGTCAATCGCATATGAGGTTCGGACTTTTTTCAAACAAGGATCACTCTGATGATGTATTTTGTGTTCATGAATACAATCGACTCTGTGTCTTATGTTTAACAATATCATCATTTTAGAGTTATTTATCAGTGTTCAGTGACTATATGACTGTAGAGTGGAGGTTTATGTGCCTTTGAGAGTGAAGTATTCGTGCGTTTATAGGACAGACAACAAGTTTATACATGGATTTTAATCTCTTCGGGGCTGTAAACACCTGTTTCTTTGACAAGTCGAAGTGACTTTAAATCACAGCTAGTTCATAATTTGCCTAAAGTATTATATATAACACTAAAAAGCTTGCTTTAGTAGACTGATGCACCTGAAATATATTTATTTACGATTTACCAAGAAAAGAAAATTGCACAGTAATACATCTGTGAGCTGAGATAAACATGAACTGCTAATATAGGTAACCCTGTAATTTCGGTCTATACCTGGATATTGCAATTTCTGAAATGCACCTTTGATTTCAGGATTATCTTATCGACGACCATGATTTTATTTTCTACAAAAACACAAGCTTGTGTTTGGAGCTGTTGTGTTATCATATCGCGTTACAGATGTCCTTATTTTACTGGAATAATGTTTGGAAAGTAGTATTCTCAGAAGGAGAGAGAGAGAGAGACAAACAGACAGACAGATAGACAGAATGATAGAGATAGATAGAAAAGAGAGAGAGAGAGAGAGAGAGAGAGAGAGAGAGAGAGAGAAGGGGGGGGGGGTGAAGGAGCAGAACCGAAATGTATCGCCAGGGGAGAGCATTGTATTATTCATGTTAAGCCAACCGCCCTAAAACATGTTAATAATACAGTAGCCCTCCGCCCTCATGTTCGATTATTCTTATCCTCATAAGCCCTACCCACGTATCATACCGGCCTCGCTTCGAGGCAGAGTATCGATATTCAATTCACCGTGCTGATACCCGCTGGGATGCATTACAGACACATGTACCCTAAAGGGGAGGGGCTGTGGAGGTTGGAAGATCCAATTTCTTTTATATAGGCCTAACGAACATTTTTACATTTTGGGGTTTTGTCTATGTCTATAATAATGTTTATTTTCTTAATAATTTATCACATTTTATTGGGATTGGGGGGGGGGGGGGGGGAGGAGGGGTTTGTAGAGGTTATATTAAGTGTTATATTTTTCGAACTTTTCTTATATACACCCAAGAATGTTCTATCTTCTATGTCCTACCCTTTTTTTTGCATTTTCTCAATGTATCGAATTTAACTAGTCAGAGTCTCTCCCGATTTCAATCGATTTTGATAGTAATTTCCTCTTGTTGTAATTACAATCTATAGCTCTCCCCTAGTGTTCTTGACATGAGAAAATCATATTACATCTGCCACTTTTCCGTTATGAACATCCTACATCCTTATTGGTATTTATAGAAGAGCGTGTCTCACGGCTCTATATGCAACCTATGGATCCCTCGTCCCCTCCATAATGTCAAAACATAAAGGTATACAAAATGTTGGAGATTGTTTTACAAACAAAACTATCATCTTTGAATTTTGATTGATAGTTATTTTTCCATTTTGTTTTTCAAGAGGGGAGGGGGGGGGGGGGGATAGACAGCCCATTCTCCTACATATTGAACCGGAATGATTTGACGACAATTATAGGTTGCCCCTATTCCCGATGCCTGTTACCCCGCTTACCATTCCGTTTTTGAATAGGGTGACGGTGATGACTTTTTTTAAAGTTTTGTTTTGTTTTAGCGGGTTGTGTCTTTACTGTTTGTTTTTTTGTTAAATTGTTGTTTGCCCTAATCCTTCCTTGGCTTATCATTTATCCTCACACATCCTCACACATCCTCACTGCCACATTAAACGCTGCCATTCATCATTGGCAGCACAAACCAACATAATCAATATTATTATAATCATTATTATTACCATTTGCCCTTCTTTTAATCTTTCTGCTTCTCTCTCTCTCTCTCTCTCTCTCTCTCTCTCTCTCACCCCTTCTTTATCTCCCTGCATTGACCCTCCCATTCTCTCTCTTGTTCCCATCTTCCCTTCTCTCTATCGCTGTTTCCCATGCATTTATCATTCTTGTTCTAAAGTTTGAATATCAACCTAAACGTCGCATCCACTTTCTCATCACTTCTGTCACTGTCACCTCCGCTTCTCTCCTCTCGTTCTCCCCCCTCGTCCTCTTCCCCCTTCTCTATTTTTATATATCTGTCTCTCTCCTCTCAATCTATGTGTGTCTTCTCTCATCTTGTATCTTGTTTGTTTATTTGGATTTCTCTTGGAGGACGAATTTGATTGGAAAATTGAGAAGGGTTACTGAATGATCTTGAGTCGGTCCGCTCGCGTTTCTCTGGTACTAGCAAAAACAAATCGAAAGAGCACTGAAGTATTTTGATATCGGGAATCGTTCTCGCGTCCTGCTTGCGGTCAACGCCGAAATCACAGAGCGATATGGGCGTCTGTCCACTGTTATGGTACCGGAAAGGGGGGGGGGGGGGAGGTGAACTGATATGTTAGCAAGATAAGTGAATTTGTTCAGTTGTAGTGAACACTAAAAGTATTTTCAACTTCACCATGAACCAAACATGTTTACATCACATCAGGTGAACTGATATGTTAGCAAGATAAGTGAATTTGTTCAGTTGCAGTGAACACTAAAAGTATTTTCAACTTCACCATGAACCAAACATGTTTACATATAACACCATCCCGAACCCAACTGCATGTGTTTCTAACCCTAACCCTACATCTCTGACGAAGATTATTATGTGGTACTCAAAAATTAAAGTAGTCCAGGTTCTGTAATCATACCCCCTTCATCGACGCCTCAGATGGCCGACATTTCTTGCACGGGTTTTTGCAGTCACGAAGGGATAACAGTTTCGATCATTGTCATGATTGTTTCTCTATCAAAAAACCGCATTCTATCTGATAAGCAATAAAGTAATTTCAAAGAAGTAACCATCGGCGGACAAAATTGTCATTTTTTTTTGTCTGTTTGTATTTTTGTTTTTGGGCGTTCCAAAACCACAGCAAAATTACTCTGTAATGTGGTTTTACTTCTTTGTAAAATAACTATTTTTACACTTCAATATATTCCTGTGCAGTCTTAGACTCTATGATATATAATGACGAAAGAGAACGGGGTTGGATTCGAACCCACGATCTTTGGTTTGACGGGCAGACGGTTTACCGACTGCGCGAACTCGCCTCCTTTCTATTTATGTATACAGGCCCAAGTAGCAGAGCCCCCTGTTGTTAATCCCCCTATCTTATTAACTACCTGCACCCACACTCGACCAATATAAAGGTTACATTTGCCAAATATATTAATTGCACTTAAGCCAAATCTTTCGTAACTGAAATAGGCCATCTCTCAACTCGCCTTTATCGTAATCTTTTGCGATTTCTAATTTATTCTGAATTATTGAATACAGCTATAAAATACACTTTTCCTACGCACAGTATTAAGAGGGACATTTAGAATGTGTTCATCATAGACTAGGCCAGTTTTAACTTAATAACCACGAACAGTAGATTTCTGCAGGAAAGTGAAGTACAGACAAGCTGAGAAAAGTATAATATGGAAACAACCTCTAAAATGCATGTGTCATTGTATCTACTCTACCACGTTTCCTCCCTTTAAATGAACGCGCCATCATTGATCAAACTGGAAGTAATGCACATGGCTATTTCCCGCCTGCCATTCACGCTCTTTTTAGCTAGTTTTATTGAATCCATCTCTCAAGTATACATGGAAAGTTGATTCAAGCAAATATTAAACATTAGGTTCTGGGCTGGAAACACGCAAAGACAATGAAGCGGGGCGATGAGAACGCCAATGCAGTTTTATAAGCGGGTGATGCGAGTCATGCGCAACTATTTGAACATGGATGTTTCGCGAGGTTTGAAAAGTATTGGTTTTTGCTCGCTCTGTGACATGGTTCAAATATTATCTTTGTAGCTATGTATCTCTCTTCCATTCGAACTCTCTCGCTCCCGCGCTCTCTCTCTCTCTCTCTCTCTCTCTCTTTTCTATCTCTCTCTATTCATCTCTCTCTGTTTTCTCTCTCTTTAACCACCAGTCTGTTTATCCCTCTCTCTCCTTCTCTCTCTCTCTCTCTCTCTCTTCTTCTTCTTATCTCTCTTCTCATCTTTCCTTTTTTTATAATGGCTTTCTCTCTATTCTACCCTCTTGATTTAATCTGTCAGTTAAAAAGAAATGTTCGATATGTATGCATTTGGAATCTTCGAGGTTTGTCATGTTCATAATAATGTCGACCTGGCGTAAATAAAATCCTCATAGCTATTATTGGATATACAGGATTAAGACTATTTCTTTGGCTTTAGTGGTTTTGATAGTTCTTATATACCATAATTTCATTGTTTTAATGGCTACGCACTCGACCGAGAACAATTTAAACTCTATTATCTGTAATGTTTCGTTTTTCTTCAGGAGGATAGTGGGCGGCACCTTAGGGTTTGATCAGATCTGTCCTTTCTATGTCTGAATATCTGCTAATTATTTGTTTTCTAACTCTGTTCTTCAACCTACTTCTTTTCTTCCCAATGCAGGTCATACCTCCGCTCTATCTACTTTGACGTCGGTTAAAACACCCACCATCCTCCTCGCCTGCCTTTGATTTGATTACTGCTAAGCTGAAATACCCTATTTCCTGCTCAAAACCTTCACGAAGTTGGACGGACGAGGGAGCGGATCACCGAGGGGTTCGCGCTCTGCATCGATTTACCCTTGCGACAGGCTCGCGCTGGGGTCTATTATCTAATTTGGAAAGCCCGTCATAAATGGAGCTACGGTAAACGGCGAGGCGAATGCGTGCGTCGTGCCCAGTTGACATTTCCACCTAATCAAGATCGTAAATCCGTACGACGCTGTCACTCGGAAACACTCTCCTCTTTTGAAGGTTTTCAAGAAAAAGAGAGTTGGTTTGTTTTCATCTTTCAAGAGGGGTTTGGCTTTCGTCTTCATCACGTGGGAAATTAAACGGAATGCAACCGGAGAAGTGCAGGGTGCAGATTATCGACTTTACTTCCCTCTACTGATTCACAGCCAGAAATCGTCGAGTTTCTCTCCCTTTTGCAATTGTTAGTCATCGCCTGTGTGTTTTGGCGGGAATTAATTCTATCCGGTTTAGGGAGTAAAATCTGTCGTCTGCGTTAGATGTGAACGTGTTATACGTGGTGATACTGCGCTCCGATTACTATCGCGACGTACATCGATTGCGAACTGCGATGTGAGGAGATCGTCTGCTTGAGACAAATTCTATTCATTTCTTCCCGCGTTAGCAGTTTAGTGTTATTTGAAAGTGTTAACGGCAGTTCCTGTGTCTCCGGTTACGAGGCAAAAACAACAACCGAGCGGAAGGCATTCTAAGCGGCGACACTTCAGGCGGTATTAAACAGTGTCGAATTTCAGTCTGGATTGTAAATCCAGATATAAGACTTCTATTTTAACACACGGCATCCCTGTCTTCTAGTAACCTTTTCTCGAGAATATGCACTGTATGAATTTGGAGTTTGAATTGAGTATGATATTTAGTGCGAGCATTTATGATGAGTGACAGCGACCAGCAATCATAAACCGATGAAAACATTCACACCATGTGCACAGTGAGAAGGAAACTTTGATATTTGCATCAAGTAAACATGGATCGAATCGATTTCAATTTTCGCGAATCGATAACTGTATTCCACGAAGCTTTCACTTGGCTTTAGTGGACATGTACTGCACGTTGTATGACATTTTGTGAGAACGTATTAATGATATTTTTTTCAAAATATGCTGAAGTACAATCGTTCTATCACTTTTCCGTTTTTCTGAGCGATTGATGAGCAGTCCATGTTGCAGCTGCACGTTGTATTTACGAGGAGTGTAAACGACCGCTATTATCTGATTTCAATTACGGAAGCGTGCCCCAAGAGTGAGTGAGAGCTCCTGACACGAATTAGGCTAATGACCGAGTGATCGCAGATGTTTATACCCAAACGGTAAACGGAGTGCTTATCCAGTCTCATCAATACCCCCCTTTCCAACTCTCCCTTCCTGTTCTCACCAGGCTGTGCTTTGTATACACATGGTGTACTTTTCACGATTATGACACAATAAGAATCTGGATTTCATGCTGTTTAGCATTCGATGCTAAGTAACGTGGTAGTTATTGTGTTGTGGCGACGAATTGAGTTTCTTCTGGAGAGGAGAGTTGTGTTACCTGATAAATCATTGCCCCCTGTCTCTGCGGTGGGAAAGCGGATATTGTCGAGCGCGAAAGGGACATATCCATCACATAATCGACAGCGATACAGTAACCAGATTTTCGAGGCTTGGAAAATATTATGAGAAACACAGTGAGGAAGTGTCAGAAAGAAGTTAAGGTAGATTTGTAACACTAGTGTTTGATTTTTTCGTCCGTGATTCTATCAGAAGAAATCAATTCGGTTTTGCAAACGAGTGTGTTTTATTTGAATACGAAGAGGAAGACTAAATTAACAAGATGGGTTCGGTAAGGAAATCACCAAAGCATTCAGGAAGCAGCCCTGAGCACGCGATTCCCAGCGGGAATGTACCAATCTTCTTACCCGAGTGTGGCCGTCTGTCCCTTATCCTCTTAGGTGTGGCCTTCATCCTTGCCTCACTCATATCTATCGGGGTATTCACCGATCTCTATAATGTGTTCCGATGGTGGCCCTACGGTGCTGTCTGTTTGATAGGTTTCGTCGTCGGAGCGGTCATTGTCGGTCTCGGCTGCCGATGTTGGTTGAAGGAACCAATCATCACAGCATCGGTCCAGATGAAGATGCTCCAAGAACTCGATCGCGCCGAGCAGGAGGCTAAACTAAAGAAACGGGATTCCATCAGAAGGATTTACCACAAGATGTCGCCGCTCAGGGGGAGCGACCGACGCGGACAGACCAGTAGTGTCTCGGCCGAAGCTGAGGTATGACATACAACAGGTCACCGATCGAACGATGGCGATTTGGACTTGATTGTCACGTCATCGACCTCCATGGCCACAAACAATTGTCGATCGGTGATCGTCTTGATAGAACAACCGCCTGATCGCTCGTGCGCCATATACCATCCGCTGAATAATGCAGCTTCGTGATAGCTACAGCGGTTCTGTTGTTGCGTCAGGCAGGGACATCACAAGAGCGTCAGGGGTACTCTCAAGACCGCCAGGGTTATGACCCTGATCATGATGTAGTGGATTAAGCGTGGTGCTATGGATTCGAGGATCAAGGTTTGAAACTCCTGATACGGCGCCGAAGGGAAATCGATACCTGGCTTAGTGAAGACCTATACGGTCACGCCTAAGTGTCGATGTCTACACTCTCATGGTGTCCACGTACAAGGCTCACTCTTCAAGGAATGAAACTATTGCACAGAGGTGTGGATTGGAGTACATCTCCTAGAATTCTTTGGATATAATGTCTGTTTAAAGCACACAAAATTCGTCAAAGTGATAAGGCACTATAAATGTATACATTCTTTTATTAATTAGAGATATGTTTATAGCGTCTTGAGGTGGGTACACTAACAGTTCATGAAAATCTCTGTTTGAAGATTGTAAGATGGTTTGTAATGGCATTCCACTGTCCGTCCTGGCAAGAAAGTGGACAGGAAACCACATAATGATCCTGTAGCCTTAACGACGTTTGTCAATACATGCACTGTTCTCTATTGATTAATCAAGATCGATTTCTTTATTACCTTTTTTTATAATGCTAACTTTATACCACAGTGATTTAAAATCTACAATAGTCAATAATAATCTTCTGGATGATATTGGAGACATGATGAAGGTAAAACATAATTCATAAAGTTTAGAATAATCTAGAACGCTGGTGAAAATATTAATAATATGCAAAAACTGCTGCTACCATGATTTTGCAAGACTACTTGTTTCCAACCTTTTGCCACGGCTGATTCGTGAATGTCTCAGGAATGTCATAATACATCATAAGCTTCTAGAATATGGTTTCATGCATGTGAATTTACACACAAAAAAGTATTGCCAGATTATATAGACAAACATGTTTAACAACGGAACTTCCGAAACAGCTGATATTTCATATCCGTCGGAAGTATTAGATGTATTTGTCTTCGTAATTAACGATGGAGAGTATTTCTTTCTGGGAAAATCAGGATCCTTCGACTAAATTTCCCATTTCTGTTCACAGTATAAAGTCTGCTATTTTTTTTAAATGGATGGAAATCGTTCAAGTTGGTAACGTGGACATGCCAAATAGTTGTGTTCTTGTGGTTTCCATTTAACATTAATATTCATGAAACTAGCCTTGGGCGAATTTGATGCTGAAATCGTGTCTTACACAAAAGGGAAGAAAAGGAATACGGGAGAATGGTGGTGGGTTTTGAATTTGAAAGTGCCATTAGCATTTTCTATTTTAAGAAGTGAGAAATGATTGAATAATTCTTAAATCCATTCTTTACTGCTCCAGCATTCATTTTGAAAACGTGTTGACTATAAAAAAAAATATAGTTTTCAAGTGCGTTGAAAGAGAAATGTGCATAATAATGCCGTATTTTGACACATTTCACCCGATGATTAATCTGTTGATTGTCTTGATGATCGAAACAGCAACGTTGTTTTCATTTATCCCCACCCCCTCTCCACACACACAATTTTAGATAAAACTGTAAACCCTTCAGTTTAGATATTTATCTATATCAATTCCTTTTCAACTGTTACATCAATCAATCTTGCACTTTCTGACCGTGCTAAAAACACTGTATAACGAGAACAACAGAACAGAGATTAAAATGTACAACATACATGTTTCGTTCTATTTCGATGTCATGCAAATGGCCGTTTGTGTATATTCAAATTTGTCTCATCAAATGAAATCTGTGATATGTATTTGTAAACTTTGTGGCGCCAGAAAGGGTAGTTTACAAAAGAAACCTGATTGTTGATGTGTCATAGAAGTGCAGATTTGGTATAAGGAGGGATTAAAACTACATCAGTGTTGATTGCATTCAATAGCTTCACATTTGACACCGACTGCTATCTGCAGAGTGGCCCAACTTTAATGTTGGCATAAAAAATACAAACACCTTTGCATTTTTCACACTAATACGAAGAGAAAGGTTTTATATTTGAACTTTAGAGGGCGTATTATTATTGTAGCATCGGATAAGAGGTCTTGGCACGGGGTTACTCGTTTTTCTGAAGGTTGTTATTTTTTTCATTTCATTTTCGGAAAAATGAACCAATTGTTTTATTTATGGAATTATGAAGCCATAATCATCTCTGGAATTATGAACCCTGTCACAATTTTCGAGATTGCTAACCCTACTTCATTTTCGGAATTATGAACTTTGTTTTCATTTTCGGAATTACGAACCATCTGAGTATAAAGAACTTTCGGAAATATGAAGCTTCGGGTAAAAATAAAAAGAGCCTTCGGAATTATGAGCCTTCTGTAAAACGACAAGTAACCTACAGTCTTCAACCTATTTTATGTACATAATGTATTGAAATGTATGTATATAGGAAACATCCATGATACCACACACAAACCCAGTCCGTTCTTATCCGTTTTTCAGTGTATATATCATGGTATAACACGGGAGTAATAGAAATGTCAAAAAGGATTGGGAGAAAGAGTTCCAAATTCTTTATGCTTTTATTTTTATATCTTTGGTTTGTTGTTTCTTTCTTTCCTTGTTTATGTCGTTGACTTTCAAGAAACACTTCCCACATACATGTACATGTGCCTCATATTGACTCGTGAAACAAAAGGGCATAGGTAATGTCCAGAGGTACAAGCGTTGCATGGAAAATAAGAAAATCATTTGGTGAAATTACAAAAATCGATTTCAAAGTACATTTGTTGTTGTAAAGTAATTACTTTTGTATACGCCTACAAAAGAGTGGTTGCCTCTGGCAATCGGTTTGTAATATCGCAATGATCACTCGTACAGTCTCAAGGAGGTCTAGAAAGTTTAATTTTCCAGATTGCCTACCCAGTTTTACCCCTTCGGCAAAATGGCAACATCTGATCGCAAACTCGCTGGCAATTTAATTGCAAACAATATTTGAACCCTTCTGTCCTATGAATTCATTTGGGGATGAGACAATTGGGTGTGTAGCTTTTAAGCTGCTCACGGTCCTTCCTATGTCTTACGCCCACTTGAGGGTCATTTACACAACTGTCCAAATTTGCGATTTTTCCAAAACCGCGCTTTTTGGCTGGTGGTGTAAATGGGACCTTTCATTATTTCTTTTGATGTATTTCATACGAGTTAAGATACATGTATATGATAATCGAGAGGAGTAGGTGAAATCACCCAATAAACTTTTTGAAGCGACTAAAAGAACTGTTGAATGGCGTTTTTATTTTGCATTTCATAATTCTGTAATTAAGATGAATTGCTACATACACACACATATATACATAAACACAGCCTGGAAATTTACTTCGTGTAGTTAAGTGTGAACATTTTGTTTGTTTGTAACGCTGACCTAACATTTTAATACAAAACATAGGCCTATATATAATATTGCATGATGCATTGAAGCTCTGTGAATATTTCAATAGTGCAGGAGTTTGATGGGTCATGTTCAAACAAAGGCCATAATTCAACATGAATTTTTTCGGAAAGTGTAATTTTTGTAATGGCAGGCCTAGACAATGGCATGGCAAAATATTTGCTAAACGTTGTAACTTATACAAGTAATTGGATTGTAGTAATTAATTTTATCTTTGCACAGTTTGACATTTACATATTTTCATGTTTTGATAATCATGTCTTAGAATGTGGTAATATAATTCCTAAAATTTGAGGACAAAATATAAATTTTCACCCAATGGAAGTAGAATCAATGAGCAATTTGACTTAAATAACTAACAGTTTACGGGTTTGCACTGTAGTATGAAAGTTTGTATCGATCTTCTCTCTACCCAGGGGTAGAAATGTATACCTGGTGTAGCGCCACCCTCGTTGTAAATTGAAGTAGCACGTGCAACCGTGTAAAATAGCGACAGGCTGGAAGTCTCCCTTTTGCATGTATTAATTGGGTAGTGTGCATTACAAGCACCAAGCTGATTCGTATTATGCCACGATGTTACTTGAATTGAATTGAATTGATTTATTGTCCGCTAAAAAATGAAAATTCGTTGGTCACTGGTTTTACAAACAGAGTCACAATTACACTAAACAATTATAAAGGGGTAATAATTTCGATTATTCATTTCATTTTCATTTAGTATAAAATATTATTATTTTGTATTAAATTTTTTTGGGAGGGGGGAGGGGGGATTCAATATTGTCCTAATTCACATGCAGCAGTAACAATTTGAAAAGAAGTTAAGTCGAGGACTCAGGATAATTGTTTTGTAGCTTTTGCCAGGACGTTTCCGACGATCCTACATTGCCTAAATTGTGTAAGGTATGGTTCAGTGATAATTTTGTTTCTTTTTCCCTCCTCTATAATTTTTTCTGTCCCTTTACCTGTTTGGGAAATTCCTTCTCTCCGCCTAGTATCTTTCCAATCCGTTTCCTGTTTACATAAATATTAGCAAAAGGGTGGAATCATATTGAGTTAAGCCTATCAATAATAATTGTAACAATATTATAATTATTTTCATTATTATTACTATTATTATTATTATTATTATTATTATCATTATTATTATTATAAGTAGTAGTAGTAGTAGTAGTAGGACGAGGAATAGTAATAGTAGTAGTATCATTTTCATTAATATTATCATAATTATTTGTATTAGTATTAGTGTATCATTATCATCATTATTGTTATAATTATTATCATGATCATTACAAACATCATCATTATCATTATTACTAGTAATATTTATTATCATTGTTTGTAGTACATGTGGTAATTGTATTTGTAGTAGTAGTAGTAGTAGTAGTAGGGGCGGATCTATAGTGTTTCGGCGGTGGGCGGAGTAG